TATATATTATAAAACAAGCCATTCGTGTGGTTTAGTGAAGGTTTTACGGCACTTTCAAATAGGTCATTCAAGTGCCAAACATTAGAGATGTTACAAGAGAGTAGCCAACAAAGAAAAGGAGAAGGAGAGATTTAACAACGACAGATATTTGTTTTAGTAAGAGTTTTAGCACTTGCAACACAATAAAGTCATATATAAGTGCCGAAGATTAGAGGTGTTACAAGCGAGTAACAGTCACAACAAAGGAGGAGGGGAGATAAAGACGATAGATGATTGATAGGAGAAAAAGATCAAACGATGTCAGAGCACCTGCCAACCACCCGCAACATGTGATAGAAAAATCAACACAGGTAACCCAGAGGAAGGGTCTCAACAGTCCGGTTCCCGCACTGCTGACATCTCACGCTTGCGCTTTTCTGCTGTGGATCAAGGCGTGCCGGCGTAAGTTTCCCGTCGAATTAAATTTGGCCAAACACACGTCACAGCTGTACGGTTTTTCCCCCGTGTGCATCATCACGTGCTGTTTCAAACTGTTCCTGGCACGGAATCTGGCGTCGCACAAGTCGCACTTGTGGGGTTTTTCCCCGGTGTGAATGAGGGTGTGTTGTTTCAGATTGCTGCTAGAACTAAACTTTGCGTCGCACACACTGCACTCGTAAGGTTTTTCTCCGGTGTGCGTAAAGGAGTGCTGTTTTAGGTGACTCGACGCGTAAAACCTCACGAGACAAATTCCACACTGGAAAGGCTTTTCTCCGGTGTGCGTTAAAGTGTGTTGCTTCAGGTGACTTGTCGACTTAAATCTGGCGTCACACAGGCCGCATTTGTGAGGATTTTCTCCCGTGTGTACTAAAATGTGCTGCTTCAAGTACTTTGAAGACTTAAATAGGGCGCTGCACAGACCACACTCGTAGGGCTTCTCTGCCGAGTGCGTCAAGGCGTGCTGATTTAGATTGCTCTTCGTGTTAAACGTTGCCTCGCACACGTCACATTTGTACGGCATCTCCCCTGTGTGACGCAGCACGTGCAGCCGCAAACTGCTCCTGGCGTTAAACCGCGCATCACACAGCTCACACCCGAACGGTTTCTCCCCGGTGTGCACCAACAGGTGCTGCTTCAGAATGTTTTTCGTCGTGAACCTCGCGTTGCACACTTCACAGTGAAACGGCTTTTCCCCCGTGTGGATGTAGTTGTGCTGTTTCAGATTACGTTTCGACACAAACCGCGAGCCACACACCTCACACTCGAACCGCTTCTCCACCGAATGTATCACGGCGTGCTGCCGTAAACTCTTCCACGTCTGAAATCTCGTGCCACAGATATGGCACGCAAACGGCTTGTCTGCCGCCAGGTCCGCCACTTCCTGTCCGTTGTCGGGGGATGGAGACCCCGCGTCATCACTGCCAATAATGCCCTCTCGCGTGTGGATCAACATGTGTTGCTTCAAGTATCTCGAAAGCTTGAATTTCGCTCTACACAGACCGCACTCAAACGGCCTGTCTGTCCTGTGCGTCAACATGTGTTCGTTCAAGTGGGCTTTGGTGCCAAAACCCCCGTCGCAGACGTCGCACTTGTACGGTTTCTCTCCCGTATGTTTCATGGTGTGCAACCTCAAACTGATCTTTGCGAGGAAGCTCGCGTTGCACAGACCGCATTTGTACGGCCGTTCTCCCGTGTGTATCATGGTGTGCTGTTTCAAGTTACCCGCATGGCTAAATTTAGCATCACAGACCTGGCATTTGTACGGCTTTTCTCCGGTGTGCACAAAAGCGTGGTGTTTCAAATTACGCTTCGACACAAATTGTGCATGGCAGATGCTGCACTGGAACGGTTTTTCTCCCGTGTGTGTAAACACGTGTTTATTGAGATTACTCCTGCTCCTGAACGTCCGGTGACACACATCACACTTGAACTTCTCCTCATCCCCGTGCGCTGACGACGTGTGCTGCTGCAGATCAGAATCGGCGTCAAATCCAACATTGCACACATCACATTTGTAGAGCTGCATTTCCGCGAGTCTATCTTTTTCCGCTGAGTCATCACTTTCTCCCGACCATACTATTTTAGGTACATTGCAGGATACTGAACTTTCTTGACAGTCCGTCTTCTGATGTCTTTTCAAATCGTCTTCCTGTTTAAATCTTGCGTCACACCAACAACATTTGTACAAATTTTCCCCACCGTGCGTTTGGGTATGCTTCTGCAAGCAATCCAAACTTTCAAAAGTTTGCTCGCAGAAATCGCATTTGATTAGCTCTACTTTAGTGTGTATCAGTGTATGATTCGTCAAATCATCTAGACTAGGATACTCCTTATCACAGAAATCACATTTGAAAAAAGATTGTTGTTGCGAGTCGTTCACTTCGGCTCCACAAGGTAGACATTTTCTCGTCAACTGTATATGTTGTGCATCATTAGATGGGGGGACATTCGTCTCTTCCACGTAGACACTGCTGTCAGCTGGACACAGACACACCTCCACAGATTCAACCTGCGATGTTCCGACACAGCCGGAATGATGTGTTAAGTTCAGTTGCTGGGACGAACTGGTCACCATAGCTGCCCCTCCCATCTCCCTTTCCTCACTGGCACTAGAAGTAGATGTCCCTGGCTTACATCCGAGTGACAGGGCCATGGATTCAGATTTCAACGTATCCTGTTGCCGAGAGAAATCACCTGTAAGAAGGAACAGAGAAAAGCTTTATATATACACATAGCAAAACTCAGGGTTTAAAAATTTTTTTAGTAGGAGTTTTACGGCGCTCGCAACTGCATAAGGTCATATGAGCATCAGAAGATTAGAGGTGTTACAAGAGAGTAACAAACGCAAAAAAAGAAGAAGGGGAGAAAGGGACGATAGAAGTTTGATAGGAAAAAAGAGCACCCGCCAACCACCCACAAAACTCAAGACACCCTGCTGGGCCCACATATGGGAAGGACTTCCGTAACGAGCGACCACCCCAACAAAACACAATAAAAACAGAGACCTGACCCCTACCCTTACCCCAAACCCTCACCCTCTATTCTACTGTTTCATAGTGGTCGTTCGTTACAGAATTCCTCCACACATATATAATTTCAGAGGCCAGTCCTACACTGTCAACAAAGATCTCGACTGATGAGTGATGTTTTAGTAAAAGTTTTAGAGCACTTGCAATACAATAAGGGCACATAAGTGCCCAATATTAAAATGCTACAAGAGGATAAACACAAAAGGGAAAACAAATCAGGATGATAGATGTTTAGTTTATGTAACAGTTTTACGGCACTTGCAACACAATAAGGTCATTTAAGTGCTGAAGAATAGATGTGTTACAAGAGAGATAAGGACGATAGACGTTTGATGAAAGTAAGTGAAAGATGGAGCAAACCATAACAGAGGACACGCAGAGCACCCACTCTGATATGTGTGTGTGTGTGTGTGGCTGTGGCTGTGGTGTGTGTGGCTGTGGTGTGTGTTGTGTGTGGTGTGTGTGTGTGTGTGTGTGTGTGTGTGTGTGTGTGTGTGTGTGTGTTTGTGTGTGCGTGTGCTTGTGTGTGTGTATACTAAACGTAGGCCTATATTTTTAAGGGTGTAAAATTATCCGGCCGTTTGAAAGAGGCAGAGCTTTTCTAGAATGAAATTGCAGTCAAAGGGAGATAACAGCTATAAAGTTTTTTTCAACGAGACGTGGACGTCTGCAAGGGGAGAACACTCCGCCTCTACTGCTAAAATCCGCAGTCTATTCGAAGACGGCTCCAACGGAAGTAGACCAACTGGGACCCCCCTGTTTTCACCCATAATTTGATATTTTGCAGCTAAATTTGAAATTTTATTGAAAATAATTGATTTGCGAGTGTTTTAGTGGCTATAAGTGTGATCTGCAGCAAATAATACGCAGTTTGAC